GTCTTACCGGATGTACGTATTGTTTACCGAGAGTTATATGTCGAGTTCCAGTATCAGTATGTCTCATTAGAGGAGTGCTTTGCATACGGTGTGGGGTCAGCTGTGTCCTAGTCAAAATGTATTACTGGAGGAGTTCATTCCAGTATGTCTTATTCGCTCATCAGATTGTGTACTATACAATGTCAGACGGGTCCCAGTATAACAGTCTCTACGGGTGCTTTGGGTACTGTGTAATGTCCGCTACCTCCCAATATCAATGTCTTACTACATGTAGTTGACGTATTGTGCAATGTGCGATGTCAGTTGAGTCTGCATGATCGTCTCGATGAATGAATGCGTTCGCCATGTACCAGGTTGGACGGGTCCCAGTAGAATGATCTTACCGGCTATACATTTCGGTCACCAAGAGTAAAATATTGAGTTCCAGTATCATTATCTGTCCTATTGGAGGAGTGTCTTGCATACTGTGTGGTGTCAGCTGTATCCCAGTAAAAATGTCTTACTGGAGGAGTTCATTCTATACTGTGTGAAGTCAAATTTTGTCCACTGTACTAGTCAGATTGGACATGTGTTACGTGCACTTTGCAAAACAGATCAGACCTAACTTACTGGCTTCTTGCATGGGCTCTGTGTGTTCTGTGTGAGGCCTGGCGGCACTGTGTGAATATTCCTGGATTAATTCCAACAATGTTATGCTGTGAACTTAATCATGCCGTCCCTATCGGTTTTCACTTGTCCTGAGTCTGTTTGTGGTACAACCCTGTACATGATTCTTGCATCCAGATGACTTACTCTGCTGTTCTGTGTGCTTTTCCTGCTTGTTCTTTCTCCTTTCTCTTCTCTACTCCCTGCTTTAGAGTACTCCAGGGGTTGGCTATGGGAGGATTGATTCTGTTCAGCCCAAACTGAACCGATATATCTGCTAAATGTCGTCTTTACAGTCGCCACTTGCTGCTCAGTCAGGTTTGAGAATCAGATGCCTTGTTCATGTGCACTGCGTGGAAGTATCACTATCACCTACCTGTTATTACAGTGCGGCCAGCACTGCTCAGCTCTTCACCGAAGCAGCCACTATCCTTCGATATGGTTAAGTCCTGGCTGGCCAGTTCCTGACACCTGAACTACTATAGACACCCTACATGCTCTCACACTCAATTTGGTGGGTTGTTCCTCATTACTAAACTGGGACGTACTGCATCAGATCAGGATGCTAGCTCCTTGGACTATGAGCAACTTTGTGTAGGTCATAGCCTACTTGTTTTTGTCATGTATTCTCTCTGTCAGTCTCCCTGTTTTGTTTGCATCTCTCTGCCTTCTTCAGCGTTGTCGCCGCGCTATGCTTTTTCTGAGTCACATCTGGCTGCGGCCAACTACCCTTCACTTTGTGTGTAGGCGCTATTGCTGTCTATGTCTCTGTGTATGCCAGTATGTGTGGAGCGAGGATCTAGAAGTTAATGGAAGAGGGAACAGAGTTAGAGCATTTTCGTCTTTTGTCTTTAGTTCATAGCCTATCCATTGCCCACTCCCAGCGAGTAAAGTGCAGGTGGGCATTGACCTTCTCTTTGAACATCTGCAATTCTTTCCTTGTTCACGGGTTCAGCAGAACACACTGCGGGAGCTGGTTCCAGACCTCCACAACATGCTGAGGGAAGGACGAAAGTACATCATTCCGTTCTCTGAAGGAAAGAGTGGGAGTGAGCTGAAACTGGTGTGATGAATGCAGTTGGGTGCTATGGCTTGATGTGTTGGTAGCTCAGGATGGAAGACGGGCGAGGAGCATATCTGGGCCAGTTGAACAATGGAGCTCGTGCAAAAAGAAGAAAGCAGAGTGCTCCAAGCGTTCTGTGAATGCCTAGGCTAGGGAGGTTTTTTTCTTTCTTTTTTATTTATCAACATTGATCACGGCTCTGGGGAAAAGACAAAAAAATGCATAGTGGGAGCATTGATGGCGAGGCTTTCTGCCCTCAACCGACCTGAGGTCTCGACATCATGGGGACATGTTGTTGTTGTGTTTATTTTACATAAAACGTACCAAAAAGAAAGAAGAAGAAAAAAGAAAGAAGTGACAGGTAGCAATTTCAAATTTGGACTTCACGGAGAATTTCAAAGTATTACAAAATCAGAGGCCACATGCCACGTACTGCCACGTACTGCTCTTTTCTCTCCGAAACTCAACACTTGCAAGCCAGAATAATAATATGAAAGACAGAAAAAATCATCAGTCACACCACCGGGACTCGAACCAGGGACCTTGCTATTCTCGAGCAATGCTCTAACCTACTGAGCTACAGTATGACTCTTATCCACAGTGATGGTCAATCTATCGTTCTTCGATCATTCCATATCTGGCTTGCATCACACTGACAGGTACAGATACATGATACTAAATGTTAGGATGAGAGACAGTACATTAGAAGGCGGGGAAAGATAAGACAGAGAGTGTTAGGAGGAGAAGGAGAGAAAAGAAGGAAACACGTTATTGGGAGGAGTACGTGGAGCGGAATTTGAAAAAATCATGGGGTGAGGCAGATATGATGCTGATACTCAGAGATGATCATGTGCCCACGATTAGTCATTATTCTTCAAATAGCGGTTGGCTGCAACTTTGAAACGTTGTAAGTTATTGGTGCAAAATGGACCAGAAAAGACTCTGACGAGCAGCTGGTTCCAGACGGGGAAAATTGCGCGAGGGTAGGCTCGACACAGGTTGTTGCGGGAAGGGAGTGGAATTTCATTTGCCAGTTGGTGTGCGTGGGTGGGTCTTCAAAACGTACTACGGGTGGCGTGGACTGTTTGGGATTGGGGCTGTGGGGTGGCAACATTCTCTGTAGAAGGCGATGTGCATATGGACAATGCATATTGTACAGGAGGCAAAGGTAGGGTCCTCACCGATTGGCGATGGCCACCCTGTTGGATGGGGCGAGCCAGAGTGGTTTGTGCGCGGGCGGACAAAGCGCTTGTAGATCACACAATGACACCTGGAGTCCAGCACTCGAGAGGGATTCCAGAGGAATAATAAAAAATAGCAGAGGTGCTGCGATCCTCGAATAGCCAACTTGGAAACATATACCAGATCTCTTCAAGACATTGGACTTACGAGCACGTTCGAGGTGACGCAAGTAACTCATTATCGTTTTCCAGGCTAATGAAGCTAAGCTAAACCTCCAGCTCTTCAACAACATTCTGAAAACTAATGGTTTCGCGATAAACTTCTGTACCTTCTCCTCAGGTGATATACAAGGAAGAGCAAACAAGAGCAATTACAAATACAATGAATTATGAACTCGGATGGCGAGCTAATAAAATTTTGGTGAAAAAAGAGAAGGACAAAAATTAATATGGCAATAAGTAGGACGAGCTGAAGTGACATGTGGACTACTTTATTAACAATGTAAGCGATGGAGACGATGCAAGAAACAATCTAAAGGGTAAATAAAATACATGTAAGAAGAAAAAGGGCACGAAGTAGTGGTTGCGACTTCGGCGATGATTTGTAAGAAAGGGTTTGCTCCCCACACCGGAGCTCGCGCTATTCCGCCGACTTTACTTGACACTTGACTGACTCACGACTGCCATCCAGAGCACACGAGAAGTCCATCGAACCTTCGACTCGGCAAACCTGCAAGAAAGCACCACTCCCTGCTTGAGCAGGGAGTGGTGCTTTCTTGCAGGTTTGCCGAGTCGAAGGTTCGATGGACTTCTCGTGTGCTCTGGATGGCAGTCGTGAGTCAGTCAAGTGTCAAGTAAAGTCGGCGGAATAGCGCGAGCTCCGGTGTGGGGAGCAAACCCTTTCTTAAGAAAAAGGGCAATGGAAAAAAAGATGATTCGAACAAGTTTTCGTACAACACTCTTCAGGAATCACCGTTATATTATTTCCTTTGTTCTCATTTTGTTCTTTAGTACAACGGTGATTCCTGAAGAGTGTTGTACGAAAACTTGTTCGAATCATCTTTTTTTCCATTGCCCTTTTTCTTCTTACATGTATTTTATTTACCCTTTAGATTGTTTCTTGCATCGTCTCCATCGCTTACATTGTTAATAAAGTAGTCCACATATCACTTCAGCTCGTCCTACTTATTGCCATATTAAAATTATTGTCTCCTCGTCGAATTTTTACAAAAATTAATGTTACGAGTTATGACTAACTGTCCATCAACCACCATTTTGTCGCACTCGCTGACTGTATAAGATCTGGTTACGTTGGTGGACAGTTAATCATAACTTGTAACATTTTGTCCTTCGCTTTTTTCACCAAAGTTTAATTGGCTCACCATCCGAGTTCAACTTTGCACACCTGATGAGACGTCATGACATATACGGCAAAACATAAGTCGTGTGGAAGAACTTGTTTTTGTACAAAACTCGTCCATCACATTTACATGATAGTGGAGTTCAGTAGGATATTGACGTTTCGGTTTGAGACAATTTGTCTTTGGTGAGCTTCCCCTTTCTATGTTTATTACATAAACTTGAGCCTCCCAAGTTGGGTGGTCAGTTGTTTTGCGTCGTCGAGTTGTAGTAAGGCCGGTATGTCCAAGAGTCTTACTATTTTCGCCATCATCCAGTAACTTTAGGCATTTTTGTTGCCGTGGCGCGTAGCTCGTGCTCTTCTTCGTTGTGCTTTCCTTTGCCCTTTGGAGAATTGTTGGAGCTAGGAGTCAGGTCGCCGAATGTCTCAGTAAACCTTGTCAGTTTTGTGCCATTTTGTCGCGCTCACTGACTGTATAAGATCTGGTTACGTTAGTGGACAGTTTGTCAGAACTCGTAACATTTTGTCCTTCTTCTTTTCACAATAATACATTATAATTCATTGTTCTTGCTCTCATTTGTTCGTGCCGCTATATCACCTTGGTGATGCGGAAGGAGACAACGTACGGGAGAAGGTACGTCACGATATGAAGAGAAGGCACAGAAGTATACTCCCAAAAAAATATTTAACTGCTTAATTCTTCTTTCTGCTCATACAAAAACGAGAAAGCATCAGGGATAATCTGACTTACATCATTCTTTGGTTCCAACGAATGTCCAGAATTAAGTAGATAATCTGCTACGGAAACATTACCAATCAGTGCTGCAATATGTAATGGTGTGTCACCATACTGGAAGTAGCAGCAACAACAAAGAAAAACCATGTCCACATATACCCACGAGCATATACATGTTGATGCACACAAACACATGAAAACACGCACATACTCATGCATGAACGCACACACACACACACACACAAACACACACACACACACACACAAACACACACATCCAAAAACACACGCATAAATACATACACACACCTCAGACCCCAGACCTCAGACCTGCCCAACACAGAAGCAATGATAGCGAACAGCTACGTTAGACACAGCAACTAGTGCTGGGATTACACACACACACACACACACACACACACACACACACACACACACATACACACACACACACACACACACACACACCTTGACCTTGACCTTGACCTTGCCCATTGCGTATGCAATGATAGCGAATGTCGTAAAGTTCAAGTGAGAACGCGAGCGCAGAACTTGGCATGTCGTTTCAGGTCTCCTGGTCGACGAAACGGGCGACCACAGACACAGAGAAGAGGATCAGGAGCGGGCTGTGGCGGCGGAGTGCTACTCGCAACTCGTCTCCAGCCGGGACGATCTTGGCAACTCTCAAGCCAGGTGGTCATGCCGAGGTCCGCAAGGTCAGTCGACATCACATCTCGCCACCTCTTCTTCGGGCCGTGACGAGGACGGGGGGCAGGCAGCTCGCCGAACACCAATTGCGCGCGCACACACACACACGCACATCTACTACAACACACAGCAATTTGCGGTACTGGGGAGTACCGGCCATCAGAGTGAGAGGCTACGGAGAGAAATGCGTAGACATGGCCGAAGCAGAATGTTGGCGGAGCCAAGTTTCTACGGGAGAGGATTCAGGGTCGGCCGGGTAGACACTGCCGGAACAGAATGTTGGCGGAGCCAAGTTTCTACAAAAGTCTACGTCCGAGGGACGACCCTGAGTAGCTGGAAATGAACGTGGCCAACACCTCATTTATTCACTTTATGAAAGTGAATTAGTGATGAGAAAAGGGAGGTGGGATGGTTTAAAAACACTACAAGCAAACAAGAATGATTCAAACACAGAACGGATCGAAATATATAGCCAGGCAAACTCTGGCAAGACACGTCGAGTGCGACGTCAAACGAATGTCGCATGTCGCCCACGTTGCGCGCCACATACAAATGCCATGGTGAGGCCGACGTGGTGAACTGCCAAGTATCTACCTCGCAATCCGGCATTTTCAGCATCACTTGGAGGGCCGTTCATTCCATATCCTGACAGACCACAAGCAGCTGACATTTGCTATTAATCTGTCCTCTTCACGTCATTCACCTCGTGAGTTTCGTCACCTGTTGTGCATTGCCGAGTTTACGACCGACACTCGCTACGTGAACAGCTAGTAGAATACTGCTTTCACTTCTCATGTTGTATTCACGTCTGATGCGCGTAGTCGCGTACACTGCTTTCGCGCGATCTTTTGATTTGAATGTTTTTTGAATCTCCGCTTCTGCTTCGAGAGAGGCAGAACTTGCCTTTGTACTGCAAGATGATTTCCAGCAGAGTCAGAGTAAAACATTATAATACAGTCTTCTAAAACAACGAGTCCTGTGCGTTCTGGAGGCATGTTCGAGTAAGAACATAATGGTCCGTCAGGGGCGTCACCGGACCCCTTTACAGGGGGGTGCACGCGAATTTTGCACAGGAAAACACGAAAAGGTTCGCTGTAAGCAGGCCCGTCGCACCGACTTTGGAGGTGGGGCGGCCATGGGGTACGGGAGCCTTCCCCGGGAAAAATTTCAAAAATTAAAGCCAATTGCAAGCATTTCCGAGCATTTGGTGCCATTTCAGTGCAAGAATTTTTGATTCTGCAACAAGCCAAGAAGACGCTATGATCGGGGACAAGAATTCTTCATTATACTCCACCGGGATTGCAAGCATTTTCAGGCATTTGGTGCCATTTCAGTGTAACTAGTGTAAGTAGTTTACGAGTCGTACTGCCTACTGCCTTACTGGTCATGTACATGCACTCGCTACATGCACTCACTACATGCACTCACTACATGCACTCACTACATGCACTCACTACATGCACTCGCTACATGCACTCACTACATGCACTCACTACATGCACTCGCTACATGCACTCGCTACATGCACTCGCTACATGCACTCACTACATGCACTCGCTACATGCACTCACTACATGCACTCACTACATGCACTCACTACATGCACTCACTACATGCACTCGCTACATGCACTCACTACATGCACTCGCTACATGCACTCACGCCGCGTCACGCGATCGCGGCAGCGCAGTACAACTAGTTTTAGTGCATGCAGTTTATTACAGTGCGTATCGGTTATAGCGTGGTCGTGTAAAAGAATATACTGCCTACAAGAATGAACTCTCATGTTTTCATAATCATAACATGGATTTCCTGTGCACATTTATTCTTACAAGCAATTTTATGGTACAGTAGAATATATCGCTCCTAAGAATGGACTTTGTGTAGCAAAACATGCCAGATCAGTACAAAGTATATCGCCTGTAGTAATAACCTCCGTCCAAAGCAGTTCTGATCTGACTCGCGTTGGGTCGTAGTGCTGCCGGTTCAACTATTGTGTTCATGTAACTTATGTTGCATAGCCACATGGTAAGCCTATGTGACTGTGACCAGCCACATGCACAGCAGCACTACCTTGTATGTACGATGATCTTCCTGCCTCTGCGCACATGCACATGATATATCACACTTGATTTATGGTGTGTAAGAAATATCGGAAATAAGAATAGAAAGTCGTTTTTCAAACACCCACGCTATAACCCATACCTACTGTACTATTAAGTATTAGTAGATTTTACCAGCACTACACTTTTCATAACCAGGAGTTCGCAAAAAACAAGGTCAATTTTTTTAGGGGGGTGCATGTGCCCCCCATGCCCATCACGGGTGACGCCCCTGTCCTTCGAGCCGGATGGCGAACTTAGAGACAGAGCGAGCTGAGAGCGAACAGTGAGTTCGAAAAAGCAGGAGATTAAAAGGCATTCCACCAGCAAGAGTTGAGGCAGAAGGCTTCGAATTCCCTTCGTTGGCAGGCAGGAAAATGGCAGATGCCAGGTCTGTAGGAAGCGCAGAATCAAGTAGGTCAGGTACTAGTAGTACGTCCAGAGCAACATCGTTCTCACGACGACAAGCGAAGATTCAGGCCGCTGCGAAGACGTTACGTCTTGAAAAGGAATTTCTGGCAAAGAAATTCGAACAAGACAAAAGACTGGTGGAGCTGGAGTTGGCCGAGGACCTAGCTAGGCTCTCCGATGAGGAAAGTGTTCCGGACGACAGTAGCCAACATAGCTCACATCGCTCTTCGACTAAAAGTGTGCACTCAAACCGTAGCGGTGCTCTCTCGATCTCCAACTGCAGTTTTGGATAATATATGAACGCTGTGGAAGAGCAGTCAGTGCAGGAAGTGGAGTCTGACAGCCGAAGACGCAGTAACGTTAGTTTGAACAATCACAGAGGAGATTGCGTCCAACCTGCAGTAACTGTCGTACCGCAGTCTGAGCTGACAAGACCTGTCAGGTCACCACCACAACATCCTGTACACCGTGTACAGGCCAAGCGTCCACCTATCATGAATGCTGCAGCCAGGAGCTTCAAGCCAGCAAAGGCTGGTGCAGCCAGTAGAACACACCTTGACTCTAATGCGCCACACCGGTCTGTGAGCGCACAGAATCCAGCCATCCATCCACATGGTCCAGAGGATCCCACTGCATCTGCACGATACGTTCAGAACTGGGTAAACAGTGTGCCACACAGTGCTGGGTATGTTGGTATTCCGCAGTTCCAGATAAACCCGCTGGAACTGCCCAAATTCAATGGCCAACAGGAGAGCTATCTTCGATGGCGCCAGCGCTTCATGTGTCTCGTAGACGACGATCTCATGTCAACAGAGGATTATAAGATGGCACCACTGCGTGAGGCGCTGGATGGTGGGAAGGCTGAAGAACTTGTCAGTGGCATTCTGGACGGCCCTGGGCATACAGTGCCGAGCTGAACGAGCTCGACCAGTGGTTTGGCGGCGACAACCGGGAGCTGGAACGGCAACAGCAGGAATTATTGGCCAGTCCCCGGATCTCTCGGGAAGATTACACAACAGCTTTGTAGCGACTCGCAGTGAAGCTGAGAAACGTCCTGCTTAACCTGAAAATGGCCAACGTCGCACCCGGACGCGAACTGTACATAGCAGTGTCTCAGAAGTTCCAAAGACGGATGCTGTCCCGATTCCTGGATCGGTATGATGACCATAGCTGTGATGCGGAGGTGTTGTCTACCTGGCTGCTGAAGCAGGTGCACAGAGCACAGCAGGTGGATGCGCGCCTCGCACTGCCCAGAGAAGCCGCCACAGCATCTATCCGCGAGCCGTACGACGTCCACAGCAGCAGAGCACCCAGCTCAGGTCGGCACGCAACCCAACATGCATTCCATGCCTCGAGGGGTAAGCAAGCGGACTCTCCCAATGCCTGTTTCAAGTGTGATGGTAATCATCTCCTGAGCCAGTGCCCTGCCTTCACAGCAATGTCGGTACGAGAACCCTGGGATTTAGTGAAACCCACACCTCTCTGTATTTGCTGCTTGCGACCCGGCCACCATAGCATGTCCAGTAGTGGGTCCACCTGCACAAAGTGCAACGGCAAGCACCATGCACTGCTGCATTTCGACAAGTTCACCAGCAACAAGCTTCAGCAGAAGCAGTCTAATAGCAGTAACATTCAGGGCAAGGTACCTGTCAAGGAGCAGGTTCTGCATGCGTGCCGCTTTCAACCACGACGAACGTCTCTCCCTGCCATATCATTCATGACAGTTCCGGTCACAGTTTGCAACGGAAGTCAAGAAACCGTATGCAGAGCAATACTTGATCCTGCATCCACCAGCACGTATATCAAAGCCGCAGTGGCTGAAGCTATCGGTTTGACTGGAGATCCGGAACCGCTCCAAGTGACCACACTCGGTGGCAGCCAGATTGAAGCCATGCGCCGACGTACACCGGTGACCATTCAAAGTACAGACTGCAGCTTGACCAATCAGATCAGCGCTTGGGTTCTGCCATGCGTCACAGCTGACACCATGGCAGTCGACTGGTGTCAACACCAAGATGCCTGGACTCATCTGCACGGCATACCATTCCCAACTATGAACACCGGCGACATTGGTCTGCTGATTGGTGTGGATGCTGCGCCACTCCACACAGCACTGGAAGAGCTATGAGGCCCCGATGATGCGCCGATTGCCTGTCGGACCCCGCTCGGTTGGGTTTGCTATGGCCCTACAGGTACAAGCACCAAGAGGTCCCGGTCTATCATCACGAACTGTGCCACTGCCGCTGTACGATCAGAGATGACCTCCTCTGGCACAGAACCGCGTCTGGATGAGCTCGTCCTCAACCTATGGGACACTGAGTCCATCTGTGTTGTAAACGCTGACCAGCAATACCGCACACGAGCAGAACGTGAAGCAGAGGAACTGGCCACGGCTACCATGCACCATGATGGGCAGCGGTACGAAATCGGCCTTCCCGGGATCCGCCCAACTGGTCCGAACATCACATCAAACCGCGCTCAAGCTGAACAGCGCTTGAGAGGTCTAGAAAAGACCCTGTCAGCCAAGCCAGCGATCCAGGCAGAATATCACCGCGTTCTTGCAGCACATCTGGAGAAAGGGTACATCCGGACTGTGCCTGAAGCCATCGCCGCAGCAGACTACCAGCACCAGTGGTACCTGTCACACTTCCCAATCGTCCGGGAGGACAAGAGCACCAGCAAGATTCGTGTTGTGTTTGATGCCGCTGCTGTCTGGAAAGGTCGCAGCATCAACGCAGAAATGTGCACATGACCACGCCTACAGAACGACATCGTTCGCATCCTGTTGCGGTTCTCTGCGGAACCAGTAGCTCTCGTTGCCGACATCAGTGAGATGTTTATGCAAGTAGGGCTCAAAGAAGAAGATCAGCGGTTCACTCGGTTTCTGTGGCATGCCAGCCCAGACGATGATATACAAGTGTATGAGTTTAACCGGTTGGTCTTCGGCCTAAGAGCATCACCCTATCTCGCCGGCAAGGCTCTACTGCAAACTGCACAAGATTTCGCGACCGACTCGATGCGCAGCAACGACCTTCTCCAAGTAATCCAGGAGAGCTTCTATGTCGACGATCTTCTGGACTCCTTCCAGTCAGCTTCTGTGGCAATAGATGCCCAACAACAACTTACACAGCTACTACAGTCTGGTGGTTTCAAGCTTCGCAAGTGGCTATGCAACTCTACCGAGGTGGTTGAGTCCGTGCCAGAAGCCGACAAAACCCCGCAGGCGTCCCTGGGTGTCAACAGTAACCAGCACTGCACTCTACCATCGTCTAAGACCCTGGGCGTCATGTGGTTTGCTGACAAGGACGTATTTTACTTTCAGATACGATGCGTGCACAGATCCACGCTGACCGATGTTTTAAGTACACCGATGCGGATCCAACCTGCGTGAAGACAGAAGTTCACACATTCATCGATGCATCGGATGCAGCTACAGCAGCAACCTGCTGCGTCCGCTCTGAATATCCAGACGGACGCATGAAGGTGACACTGGCATTCGCTAAGTCGCGGCAAACTCCCATCAAGAAGCTAAGTATCCCGAAGCTCGAGCTGAAAGGAGCGGTCCTTGGAGTACAGCTAAGTAAAGAGCTGGAAGCAGCCCTGAAGATACCATTGACGGAGCACCGTTTCTGGACGGCCAGCCTCAATGTGTTGTACTGGCTGAGATCCCACAGCCGACGATTCCTCACAGACATCGGTGTAAAAATCTCGGAGATTCAACGTGCCACATCACCTCTGCAATGGCAACATGTGCCCGGTAAGATCAACCCGGCAGACCTACCCACAGGAGGAATGCTACCAGCACATGGTGGACATGACCAGAGTTTCTGTCCAAGCCATCGACTGAGTGGCCGCAACGCGATATCACCGTCCCAAGCAAGCTTCTAGGAGAGACTAAGCGACACCAAGCGCTGACGTTTGTCGCCGAAGCCACTGTATCTAAACTGCGTCCCGAGAACTTTTCATCCTGCAACCGACTGAAGCGTGTCACGGCTTGAATATTCCGGTTCTCCTCAAACTGCCGAGGTGCCAAGAAGGGGAAAAACCTGAGGGCAGTGATGCAGTCTCTCGTGTAGCTGTGCCGTCGGCAGAGAATATAGTAGTTTCCGAACTGTCGGCAACTGAAATACAGCGAGCAGAACGGCACTGGATCAGCATTGCCCAGCAGGAGTGTTACTTGGCCACTATTTCGACCTTACAGCGGGAGAAAAGTGTTAAGCCCTCGGACACTTTGCTCCGGCTCAATCCAGTGCTAGACACCGCTGAACGGCCATTTGTACTACACGTTGGAGGCAGGCTACAGCAGGCATCAGCAATGCCGGAAAGTACGAGGCAGTCACTGATACTGCCGTATCGGCATCCAGTATCTGACCTCATCATTGCCAATGAGGATCGCAAAACCCACCATGGGTCGACACAAATCATCTGTGGGCCAACCTGACATCTTCGTATTGCCCGATCAAAGGCAAACAAGCGATCAAATCGCATCGCCTACGATGTAATGGCTGCATTCGGCAGTGGAGGAAGCCTGCAGACCAGCTCATGGGCCAACTTCCTGCCACTCGAGTTGGTATAACCAAGCAGGCCTTCCAGCATGTTAGAGTAGACTTCGCAGGCCCATTCCTAACCCGTCAAGGTCGTGGATACTCACAATTGAAGCGCTATCTCTGCCTCTTCACATGTCAGGAGACACAAGCATGCCATTTAGAGATGGCCTATAATGTGTTTTTGGCCGATTTTGTAAGCACCGCGGAGCACCACGTCTAGTAGTGTCAGACAACGGCAGAAACTTTGTGGGTGCCGAAAGTGAGCTGCGTGATGCCCTTCAAGCTATTGACCGAGGTCAAGTGGTCACCTGTACCCGGCTCTCTAGATTTAACGTACCCGACTCTCTAGATTTAACGTACCCGACTCTCTAGATTTAACGTCCCCGGCTCTCTAGATTTAACGTACCCGACTCTCTAGATTTAACGTACCCGACTCTCTAGATTTAACGTACCCGACTCTCTAGATTTAACGTACCCGGCTCTCTAGATTTAACAGACCCGGCTCTCTAGATTTAACGTACCCGACTCTAGATTGAACGTACCCGGCTCTCTAGATTTAACATACCCGACTCTCTAGATTTAACGTACCCGACTCTCTAGATTTAACAAACCCGACTCTCTAGATTTAACGTACCCGGCTCTCTAGATTTAACGTACCCGGCTCTCTAGATTTAACGTACCCGACTCTCTAGATTTAACGTACCCGGCTCTCTAGATTTAACGTGACCGACTCTCTAGATTTAACGTACCCGACTCTCTAGATTTAACGTACCCGACTCTCTAGATTTAACGTACCCGGCTCTCTAGATTTAACGTACCCGACTCTCTAGATTTAACGTACCCGACTCTCTAGATTTAACGTACCCGACTCTCTAGATTTAACGTACCCGGCTCTCTAGATTTAACGTACCCGACTCTCTAGATTTAACGTACCCGACTCTCTAGATTTAACGTACCCGACTCTCTGGATTTAACGTACCCGGCTCTCTAGATTTAACGTACCCGGCTCTCTAGATTTAACGCACCCGACTCTCTAGATTTAACGTTCCCGGCTCTTTAGATTTAACGTACCCGACTCTCTAGATTTAACGTACCCGACTCTCTAGATTTAACGTACCCGACTCTCTAGATTTAACGTACTCGGCTCTTTAGATTTAACGCACCCGACTCTCTAGATTTAACGTTCCCGGCTCTCTAGATTTAACGTACCCGACTCTCTAGATTTAACGTACCCGACTCTCTAGATTTAACGTACCCGACTCTCTAGATTTAACGTACCCGGCTCTCTAGATTTAATGTACCCGGCTCTCTAGATTTAACGTACTCGGCTCTCTAGATTTAACGTACCCGGCTCTCTAGATTTAACGTACCCGGCTCTCTAGATTTAATGTACCCGGCTCTCTAGATTTAACAGACCCGGCTCTCTAGATTTAACGTACCCGGCTCTCTAGATTTAATGTACCCGGCTCTCTAGATTTAACGTACCAGGCTCTCTAGATTTAACGTACCCGACTCTCTAGATTTAACGTACCCGACTCTCTAGATTTAACGTACCCGACTCTCTAGATTTAACGTACCCGGCTCTCTAGATTTAACGTACCCGGCTCTCTAGATTTAATGTACCCGGCTCTCTAGATTTAATGTACCCGACTCTCTAGATTTAACGTACCCGGCTCTCTAGATTTAACGTACCCGACTCTCTAGATTTAACGTACTCGACTCTCTAGATTTAACGTACCCGGCTCTCTAGATTTAACGTACCCGACTCTCTAGATTTAACGTACCCGACTCTCTAGATTTAACGTACCCGAATCTCTAGATTTAACGTACCCGACTCTCTGGATTTAACGTACCCGGCTCTCTAGATTTAACGTACCCGGCTCTCTAGATTTAACGTACCCGGCTCTCTAGATTTAACGTACTCGGCTCTCTAGATTTAACGCACCCGACTCTCTAGATTTAACCTTCCCGGCTCTCTAGATTTAACGTACCCGACTCTCTAGATTTTAACGTACCCGACTCTCTAGATTTAACGTACCCGATTCTCTAGATTTAACGTACCCGGCTCTCTAGATTTAATGTACCCGGCTCTCTAGATTTAACGTACTCGGCTCTCTAGATTTAACGTACCGGCTCTCTAGATTTAATGTACCCGGCTCTCTAGATTTAACGTACCCGGCTCTCTAGATTTAACGTACCCGGCTCTCTAGATTTAATGTACCCGGCTCTCTAGATTTAACGTACCAGGCTCTCTAGATTTAACGTACCCGACTCTCTAGATTTAACGTACCCGACTCTCTGGATTTAACGTACCCGACTCTCTAGATTTAACGTACCCGGCTCTCTAGATTTAACGTACCCGGCTCTCTAGATTTAATGTCCCCGGCTATCTAAATTTAACGTACCCGACTCTCTAGATTTAATGTACCCGGCTCTCTAGATTTAACGTACCAGGCTCTCTAGATTTAACGTACCCGGCTCTCTAGATTTAATGTACCCGGCTATCTAAATTTAACGTACCCGGCTCTCTAGATTTAACGTACCCGACTCTCTAGATCTAACGTACCCAACTCTCTAGATTTAACGTACCCGACTCTCTAGATTTAACGTGCCCGGCTCTCTAGATTTAACGTACCCGGCTCTCTAGATTTAAGGTACCCGGCTCTCTAGATTTAACGTGCCCGGCTCTCTAGATTTAACGTACCCGACTCTCTAGATTTAACGTACCCGACTCTCTAGATTTAACGTACCCGACTCTAGATTTAACGTACCCGGCACTCTAGATTTAACGTACCCGACTCTCTAGATTTAACGTACCCGACTCTCTAGATTTAACGTTCCCGGCTCTCTAGATTTAACGTATCCGGCTCTCTAGATTTAACGTACCCGACTCTCTAGATTTAACGTACCCGACTCTCTAGATTTAACGTACCCGACTCTCTAGATTTAACGTACCCGACTCTCTAGATTTAGCCCTTTGTGTACCAGCCCCATCTCGAACCGTACGGTTCGCTGCACTCCAATCAAGCGCGCCGTTTCCCGCCGCCGTAGCTCCGATCGAGCCGCGTTTTTTTGCGCTCGACAGCTGAGATCCCACTGAAAATGTTGATGTATGATATGGGTAGGTTGCCATTTGAAAGTATGGAGAACGAACGCGTTCAAAAGTATGCTTTTCAGCGCAAACAATTGTTGCTGTTTCGATCGTGTTCTCGCTCAGTTTCTCTGCTTGAAGCAAAGATGTAGCTTGTTCTAGGTCATGTCGACGTCTTCTAGATGTGGTGGAAGATTGGAGAGATCGGCTGTGGCGATATCATCGCGGAATGCGACTCGAAATTGAAAATTTGTATCGCTGATCCCATCGCAGTATTCGCTCTCAAAACAGGAGCGAGAGGGAGGGCAGCGATGGCCAAAAATCGTCAAGGCAGGCGTAATTCACCAGCCAGCGACTGCTTCTTGTCTTCTCTTTCACTTACCTTACGCTGGATGTGAGTAGATGAAGAAAAATATAGATTTCGAATCTGACACAAGAATTCAAAATTTGCAATTTTGAACCAATTGTTTTACCTCAAATGTGTGACAATATGACCATATCCCTGGTATGTTGTTGCTCTTCATGCACTGAGACAACGCTTTTGAGGTTGTTTTGTCCCTATGTTCCCAGTACATGAGCACAAGCTAATTCTCAGTCTATTTTTTTGTGATACCCTGGTTGGTCAGAAATATGCACAATTGGCGCGTATCTTTGGTATTCCACCTATGGCCTTCATATACTACTGCATGCTGTACCAATATCCATGCTTACCTGGGTGCAGTGATACATATGGAGCCAGGAAAACACAACTTGCATATACAAAAGTCGTCTAGATTTCATACCATGGTTGCTTCTTTGGCTGCGATAGCCCCTTACATACATTAGATGGCTGGTACATAAAGGGTTATTAACTTAACGTACCCGGCTCTCTAGATTTAACGTACCCGACTCTCTAGATTGAACGTACCCGACTCTCTAGATTTAACGTACCCGACTCTCTAGATTTAACGTTCCCGGTTCTCTAGATTTAACGTACCCGACTCTCTAGATTTAACGTACCCGGCTCTCTAGATTTAACGTACTCGGCTCTCTAGATTTAACGTACCCGGCTCTCTAGATTTAACGTACCCGGCTCTCTAGACTTAATGTACCTGACTCTCTAGATTTAACGTACCCGACTCTCTAGATTTAACGTACTCGGCTCTCTAGATTTAACGTACCCGGCTCTCTAGATTTAACGTACCAGGCTCTCTAGATTTAACGTACCCGACTCTCTAGATTTAACGTACCCGACTCTCTAGATTTAACGTACCCGACTCTCTAGATTTAACGTACCCGGCTCTCTAGATTTAACGTACCCGGCTCTCTAGATTTAATGTACCCGGCTCTCTAGATTTAATGTACCCGGCTCTCTAGATTGAACGTACCCGGCTCTCTTGATTTAACGTACCCGGCTCTCTAGATTTAACGTACCCGACTCTCTAGATTTAACGTACCCGACTCTCTGGATTTAACGTACCCGGCTCTCTAGATTTAACGTACCCGGCTCTCTAGATTTAACGCACCCGACTCTCTAGATTTAACGTTCCCGGCTCTCTAGATTTAACGTACCCGACTCTCTAGATTTAACGTACCCGACTCTCTAGATTTAACGTACCCGACTCTCTAGATTTAACGTACTCGGCTCTCTAGATTTAACGCACCCGACTCTCTAGATTTAACGTACCCGACTCTCTAGATTTAACGTACCCGGCTCTCTAGATTTAACGTACCCGGCTCTCTAGATTAAAAGTACCCGACTCTCTAGATTTAACGTACCCGGCTCTCTAGATTTAACGTTCCCGACTCTCTAGATTTAACGTACCCGACTCTCTAGATTTAACGTACCCGACTCTCTAGATTTAACGTACCCGGCTCTCTAGATTTAACGTACCCGGCTCTCTAGATTTAACGTACCCGACTCTCTAGATTTAACGTACCCGGCTCTCTAGATTTAACGTACCCGGCTCTCTAGATTTAACGTACCCGGCTCTCTAGATTTAACGTACCCTGCTCTCTAGATTTAACGTACCCGGCTCTCTAGATTTAACGTACCCGACTCTCTAGATTTAACGTACCCGGCTCTCTAGATTTAACGTACTCGGCTCTCTAGATTTAACGTACCCGACTCTCTAGATTTAACGTACCCGACTCTCTAGATTTAACGTACCCGACTCTCTAGATTTAACGTACCCGACTCTCTAGATTTAACGTACCCGGCTCTCTAGAGAAAAACGTACCCGACTCTCTAGATTTAACGTTCCCGACTCTCTAGATTTAACGTACCCGACTCTCTAGATTTAACGTACCCGGCTCTCTAGATTTAACGTACCCGACTCTCTAGATTTAACGTACCCGACTCTCTAGATTTAACGTACCCGACTCTCTAGATTTAACGTACCCGGCTCTCTAGATTTAACGTACCCGGCTCTCTAGATTTAATGTACCCGGCTCTCTAGATTTAACGTACCCGGCTCTCTAGATTTAATGTACCCGGGTCTCTAGATTTAACGTACCCGACTCTCTAGATTTAACGTACCCGACTCTCTAGATTTAACGTACCCGGCTCTCTAGATTTAACGTACCCGACTCTCTAGATTTAACGTACCCGACTCTCTAGATTTAACGTACCCGGCTCTCTAGATTTAACGTACCCGACTCTCTAGATTTAACGTACCCGACTCTCTAGATTTAACGTACCCGACTCTCTAGATTTAACGTACCCGACTCTCTAGATTTAGCCCTTTGTGTACCAGCCCCATCTCGAACCGTACGGTTCGCTGCACTCCAATCAAGCGCGCCGTTCCCCGCCGCCGTAGCTCCGATCGAGCCGCGTTTTTTTTGCGCTCGACAGCTGGGATCCCAAGACGTTTCCTATCATGTTTGTTCCTGACAGCACTTGAAATTATGACAGGTGTAGGGCAGTCCACGCTGATTCCACAGTCCAAATGAGACTGCGTTCATTTGTCCAGCCGTAGTATCGAAACAGTCCTTTCAGGACCATGGAAAATCATCAGCATTTCGAGAAGGAGCTTCGAACAATGTTTGATTTCCTTCATCGCGGTCGCTAGTTACGGGTCAAAATTCGACATTGGGACAAGAAAAGGCGGTCGCTGGTCGCGTTCAGCAGGTACTCGCTAGTCACAGTGCATTTTGAATGTGAGACCGTCCGTGCCTGACGAAGTGGTCGGTAGTACCAGGCCGGTCGCTAGTCACGGTGGTGTGTAGTACCAGGCTGGTCGCTAGTCACGGTGATCTTTAGTTACAGGCTTTACTGTATTGTGTTATGTCACAATTATCTCAATCTCAAATTCTCACCATTATCGTTTGCAAATGTGCTTCCGTCTTGGATGCACATGTTCTTTTCTCCCACGTATCGGCACACAGGAGTAACGATGAATCCGAGACCTTTGGTCAGAGGAGTTACTTTTGCACCCCCCCCCCCCCTCCATCCAACATGCCACCGCCCCGCTTTGCAGCATCTGATGGTTCTGTGGTATTCAGTGAAAAATAAATAAATAAATAAATAAAATATAAACACTACCGCCCAAGCTTGGCCACACCAAACATTACACGTTACTTGAATCATTTCTACCTAATAGACCAATCCTGAAAAGATTGTCTGGGTTCGTTTAAGGGAGCACGTGTGCAAGCCAGCTCGTGTGAAGTGCATCGTTTTGTATTGAGTTTGTGTGTGTCAGCTCATGGCGGAAGAGAGAGAGGCTTTTGCTCGCCGAGCTGAAGCTAAAGGATTTGATGGAGTCCTGCCAGCAGCTAGTCAAAGAATTCTCGGTACCTGAGGCAGACCCCGACGGAGTTTGGAGGCCAGCTACATGTCGGTGAGGAGAGAAACATTCGCGTGGCGATCGAATCTCCGTAAAAAATACAAGCTACATACTGCAACAGCTACGATTTCAACTAACTTCTCGATCGCTGCTTCACAACGTTCAACTACCGGTGTTTACAAGTCCTGACTGTTGTAGTCTGAAGCTGGAGTCTCATCGCCCACCTACAGGTAGCTTTTGGAGCTGATGGATTTACCGACTTGGACTCATTCCGCAAACTCTCGCAACATAGGGCTTGAAACTGCTACGTCACAGCATAGCAACAATTTCAAAAATTCAAAAATTGGATCCACTAGGATCCAGTTTTTGTATGGATCCAAGCACATTTCAAGCCGTCTTACCCACAGCAAGGTGATGTAACCAGTGAAACTGACTGATTTGGCTACTGGGGGCAGGGTTACAACTGGCGGGGAAGTAAAAGTCACCCTGCATACGACATGAGTGGGTTGCTATGCACCCACATACTGAGGAAATAGCAAAGTCACACCTTAGTGGATCCAAAATAGAAATCGGATGTCAACTTACTACTCCCTGGCCATTTTTGACGCCATCACTTTCAAGCCCTATTACTACAGTGTATGCTGTGTTTCCGCACGCTCGTGTCGACATGTAACCTATACTGTACATGTACCAGGTCGCGGAGGAGCTTGACGACCTCCGCTGATTCCACGTTTCCGAAATAATTCCGTCGTCTTCGTTGATGTCGCTGGTGACATTCTCCCTTTGCAGGGCATGCGCATAGTTGTCGTCCCTGTGGTAAAGACTATGTTGTCTTTCGAAATAGTTCTTCATCACGCTCGCGCGAATGATGTTTCTCATCATGAACTCATTCCGACGGTGGGACACGGTGATGGTCTTTGGCGGGGCACTGGCTCGGCGAAAACACTATCTTCTTGTGCAATATGATCGGCTGCAGATGAGTACCGTTACTTCATGGTTGGTCCTATAGGAGGGCACCTGCCAGGAAAGAGGCAGGACTCATCGAAGACGAAGCGCTCGCAACAAATAATAGCACTCGAAATATCTCGGGAGATTTAGGGCCTATCGCTTTGAGCCACAGCGCTGATGCCTACTGCATCAAAGTGAGCTCTACATGTTCGTTGACCTCTTCACACTACACAGAAGAGCAAAACAAGGATTATGTCTTAGCATTTCAACTCCAACAGCAGACCATTACCAGTGCGAGAGAGAAAACTACAAAGGGCTTTGCTTTCTGTCGCACCGTCTCTCTTGCATGCAACCAACGAGAAAGAAGGTGGGCTTTGCACAGCAAAGCCTAGTTAGCCCATGCACACGCATGCTGGTGGTGGAGTGCTGCGAGTAAGTGTTACATGACCACCTCGTGACTAAGCCGCGTGCGCAGCGTGTGGCCTGGCAAAATTTTATGGACAGTCGTGGAGGCTGCGTCTAATTATTTTGAGACGTGTTTTGCTGAGCTGTCTTTGTGCGAAGGAGCGTTCTTTGCGTTTGCAGTCAAAGTTTTTTCTTCCTTCCGAGGTTTTCCCTTTTCTCCGTTAGTTGCTGAGATGAGTACCCGACGTGTTGCGACCCGCAGCATGGCTGCGCGAGCTCCTCCTGTTGCTGCAGCACCCCCTGCTCCCCCGAACCGCAGCGTGGCTGCTCGAGCTCCTCCTGCTGCTGCAGCACCCCCTGCTCCCCAGCAATGCTCGCTGTCAGGCGGAGTCGACACGCCGTCCGTCCCGCCACGCCGTCCGTCCGTCCCCCCCGGCTACCCCTGCCAACACTGCTGATCCTCGGGTGCAGGTAGAGGAGTCGCTTCCCACAGGTACGGGTGTGTGTAGTAGTAGTTCCACAGGTGTGCCTACTAGTGCTAGGCCCCCTACCCCTGTGGCTACGTCGACTGTTGTAGACGGGCTGTCTCCCCCTAGTGATGTGACTATCCATAGCTCTCGTGTGCCTACTCCTAGTGTGAATATCTCTAGCAGTCTCGCATACAATGATTATGTGTGTAACCCTAGTGTTGTACATGTGGCTGCGCTTGTGTCTCTTCGTTGTACATGCTACTGAGTCGTGGTACACGCTGCTGCTCTGTTTTGACTCATGCGTACATGCGGCTGCACCGTTTTCTGTCCCCATTGTGTACACACTTGCTCGTCTTATCCCCACTGTGCCCCTTCGCTATAATATATTCTGTTTTCTTACATGACACGTGATCGTTGCCGGGGCCATGGCCAATAGGCGATCTTCGTAGCATTATAGCAAATATGTATCCCACGAAACTTTTTTGTGGATATAATTTGTAAAAAAAAACATTTGCCAATTGTGAATTTCTAGCGTAAAACAGACCCACAGAAATGGTCAATACCCACTGAATTTATTCACCTGCGTATTTCTTTTTTCTTCTCATACACAAACGAGAATGCATCACGGATAATATGACTTACATTATTCTTTGGTTCCAACGAATGTCCAGAAGTGAGAAGATATTTTACTACAGAAACATGACCATTCTCTGCTGCAAAATGTAATGGTGTGGAACCAGCCTGGAAGCAGCAAAATTCAAGACAAAACATTTGCACCAACAGACATACACATGTTGATGCACACGAACACATGCACGCACGAACGTACTCATACATGCACGCCCCCCCCCCACACACACACATCCAAAACACACACATAAACACACACACACGCACCTCAGACCTCAGACCTGGCCGCAAACTCGAAGACATCAGCATGGCCGGACTCGGAGTGGGGACGACGCCTAGTGACACGAGGGAACAGCTGGCCATCAATTGTGAAGCTGAAGTCCACACCAGACTCTATTCCACGCTCCACGAGAAGGTCTCGCTAACCCTCAATAACTAAGCCGAAGTACAAGTTAAACAGTACAGGTGCCATCACGCACCCTTGGCGCAGCCCATTCTTGACAGATATCGGATCCGTGCAATAACCGGCAATTCGAAAGAAAGCTGACATGTCTGTATGGAATGATCTCATGATGGCCAGAGTCGAGGACGGCACACCCAGCCGCAGCAATGCCTGCCAAAGAGCTTTGCGAGGGACAAAGTCGTACGCTTTGCGGAGATCCCCAAATATGCAGAAGAGCTTCGATCGATGTTCGTACGACTTCTCGACAAGTTGAAGGACAGAGACGATGGCGTCCGCCTAACCTTGGTGCCGCCGAAACCCGCATTGGGATTCAGGCAACTCCGCCTCAGCAATACCTTGAAATCAGTTTTGCATGATCCGAGCAGCCAACTTGCCGACAACCTCCAGCAATGCGATCCCTCGCCAATTATCACAGCGAGAGAGGTCGCCCTTCTTTGGAATCGGTACCAGCAGTGCATTGCGCCAGTCCTGGCGCACGCAATCCCCGGACCAGACAGATTGGAGTAGGTCCAGGAGGAGTGGATGGAGGACAGGCACACCAACCTTCAGCTTCTGGCGCAATATGTGACATACCACAAGCTTTGCCATTCTGTAGGTGTCTAATTGCCTGAGTCAGCTCATCCTCCGATGGAGGCAGTGAGAGGGAGTCCTCGATCTCACGCTGAGGGATAAGTTGGAACACATGCGGATCCTACACACTGCAGACATTCAAGACACCCGAGAAATGCCCATGCCATGTGCCTTGCTGCTCCTGAACAGTTTCGCAAAGAACTCCATCGGCATTGCGGATGGATTGGACGGAGAGGGGTTGGAAGCCCCAGAAGCAACGTTGCATATTGCGAATGGCAGACCAGACAGCTTTGCCACTGAAACGTCCACGGTGCACCACCGCCGCTTTGTCCATCAACCAAGTTGTTTTTCCCTTCCGGATACCAGCACGAGCCCGGCCACGCACTTCTTTGAAAGTCCGGTGATCAGAGTCCCTGCCGCTTCTCAGCCATTGGATATACACGGTATTACGAGACTCCAGTAGAGGCTCCAATACAAGGGCATTGTCACGGAACCAATGTGGCATCTGCCGCTTGTCCCGACCAACCACCTGTTCTGCCGCGTCAACAACAGCCGACTTCACGGTACACCAATTCCAGTCCACAGACGAGGCGCGGTCATACGTGGATAAACGAGATTCAAGACTAGCACAGTACTCAACACGTACAGTATCCACACGCTCAGCCTCCTCTTCACTCGTGAATGGCTTCCGATTGAATTGGTGAACAGCAAACTTCTGGGGCCTGGAACGTGCATCATGATGGTACCGTTGATGCACAACGTCAAGTAACCAGTATTTCAAGCGGACAAGGCGGTGGTCTGTGCTACACTCTGCAGTGCGCATCACTTGACAGTCCATGCAACGTTGACGGTGTTGTTGGCGTACGAACACATAATCTATACAATGCCACTTCTGTGATGCAGGGTGTTGCCTGGTGTACATGTGAATGCGTTTCTTGGGAAACAGTGTGTTACATACCGTGAGTTGTTGACACGCCAAGAATGTGAGTAGTCTATGATCAGCATCGTTCACATCACGAACACCACGTGATCCAAGCACTCTCGGCCACATATCTAGTTGCTGTGAGCCAAAACCAACACAAGCGTTGAAATCCCCCAGGACGCTCTACATTGGCTCTACGTTGGCTCTATGTTGACTCACTCTCTCGCGCTCTATGTTGAGCCACCATACGCGCTCTATGTTGAGCCACTCACTCTCTCCCGCTCTATGTTGAGCCACTTACTCTCTCGTGCCCTATGTTGAGCCACTCTCTCTCTCTCTCTCTCTCTCTCTCTCTCTCTCTCCCGTGCTCTACGTTGAGCCACATTGCCTCACTCACAGCCAGCACCCGTAAAACTCCAAACTCTGTGCCCAGTGTGTTGGTGTACTTCATAGTGGTGTAGCATCTGCATGTGCATGTGGGATGTGGGCTAACATTCAGAAATGAGATTGTCAGCATTGACCTTTAGATTTGCAGGGGGCAAGCACTCCATCGTTGAGATCGCTGGTCGTTGACTGATCTGTTGCTCCGTCAGGCTGCTGCATATCCACTGAGTTCTCAGACCTAGGGTACTTGTTGAAGTTCCATTTTCGACTGTAGTATGAAGATGGCCAAAATTCCTTCGTATTTACAAGTTCAATGCTCCTTGGCGTGACGTTTGATGCCCATCTATCATAATCAGAGCATCTTTGAGGACCTGCAGTGCGTACAGCGGATTGGTTTCTTCCGGAAGGCGTGCCATGTCCTGGACCCACCGGGCCGGGCCACAGCATGCCGGGGGTTCATTCGGCCACTAATGGAGTACTGCCCACTTGTATGGATGGGAGCTGCGGCTACCCATCTCTCACAGCTGGACCGAGTCCAGCATCGTGCCCTAACCCTGATTGGGACAGGGGCTGCAATGGACACTCTGTCCCTGCGGCGCCGTGTGGCCGGCCTCACACCCTGTACAAGCTCCATTACATCACAAGCCCACCAGCTCTTGCAGCGACACTCCCAGCCAGAGCCATCGCAACCGACATCGTGCCTGCCACACATCGCCGCTCGGCAGCCAACCTTGCGGACGAGTTTCAACTCCAAACAGCCCTACCTGCCGGATCGTGCAATTTTGCGCTGCACTCTTTCCCGGAGTGCCTCATCGAAGCCTGGAATGAACTGCCAGCCACTCTCCTCCGCGATGCACCGTCTGCCAAAGGGATGCAGCAGTTCAAGGTTCTGACCTACCGCTACCTGAAACGGTCGGGGTGGTCATTGGCCACGGACATCGCCCCCTAGGCTACTGCCAGTATGACCCTGTTACTGTTCTCGGAGCACTCCCTTCTCATCAAACTCCCAATCCATAATATACTATGTCCTTATCTCTCTCGAACTCTCCTCCATTCTCACTCTTATCTTTTGTAAAAACTGCACGGCAATCAGCCTCTACTTTCGCCTCAGCATCATGATCTTGATACTGCTATCTTTGTACTGGTTTGCGTACTTGTCTGCACTCATATCTTTGAATAACTCGCAAACTAACAAGTTTCCTGGTTTCCTCCCCTCCCTCTTCCCTTTCCTACCCTCAGAATTCTTGCTCTTCTGCTCCCCGCCCTTCCACTCCCTGTTTTGTTTCCTTTGGTGCACATGTGCAGCTGTGATGCCGAGACCCTTGGTCGGCTGAGCTTCACAGGTCTCACCCACTCCTTCCTGCTGGATATGTACCCTTGTGTCGAGTTCTTCTCCTCATTTTAGTTCATCATGCAGTGAGTGTTCAATAGTAAAAAATAAATAAAAAATATATAAAAAATACTCGTCCTGTTGAGAATGAGTCAGGCTGAGTGACCTTTCTCCTTGGGAAATAGCGTGCAATCATGGATTTGCACCTTCACGCCAACCTCTTGCGCCCTTCGTTGTACGTACGTGACAAAGGGTATATGCATCGCAATCCTTCAGGAGGTTGCCCACTAACAGAACAGCCTTCCTTCCTTTTGGCTTCTTGGTGCAGACCAGCTGCCATAATTTGCTGCCGTCTGCATCCTCTTCGAAAGTAGGGAGCATTCTGGAAAGTCCTTGTTTGCCAAGTTTGGCATCAGTTGCAGTATCTGGGTCCATTTGATGCACCCTGGACGCTTCGGTCACGCTGGTATCTTGTTCGCTACGTACAACTGAGGAGCAGGGTTCAACCGAATCTCCTACTAGTTTCTTCTGAGGGTAGCCAGCTACGTGCACGGGTGCGCCAGGGCTGGAAGCTGCAACACGCTTCTGTTTCTTCTGGGATGATTTTTGCACCGAGGGAGATCCTTGGCGTCTTTGGGCGCCATTACTGTCGTCTTCAGCAGACTGCAAAGCCGTCATCTCGTGTGTGAGCTCTTCTACCTTCCGCATAAGGTGGTTGATACGATTTAGAAGTCGTTTCTCCCTGTCCTCAGCTGCACTGCAGTCTAGCTCCAGCATTTCAACGATCTTCGGAAATCAAGATTTCTCCATACTCTGGTTTGAACTTGCCGTTTCGAAGGTGGGGGACACCATATCTGCCCGACACTCGACATCTACTGCCGCGCCTAAAGCCCAAAAAAAGCCCAGACGGGGACAACTGTGTGAGAGTAGGCTCGACACAGGTTGCTTCGGGAAGGGGCTGGAAGTTCATTTACCAGTTGGTGTGCGTGGGCATTACATCTTCGAAACGTACTACGGGTGGAGTGGACTGTTTGGTAATGGGGCTGCTGGGGTGTCAACATCCTCTGTAGAAGGGAATGTGCATCAGTACATTGCATATTGTACAGGAGGCAAAGGTAGGGTCCCTCACCGATTAGGCGATTGCCACCCGGTTGCATGAGGCAAGCCAGAGTGGTTTGTGCAGCGCTCATCCACACGACAATGCCATTCTCCAGGACGGGGGGGGGGGGACGCTTATAGATCATACAATGGCACCTGGAGTCCAGCACTCGAGAGGGTTTCCGGAGGAAGCATAGATGCTGCGATCCTCGAATTGCCAACGTGAAACCATATACCAGATCTCTTCAAGACATTGGACTGACGAGCACGTTTTAGGTGACGCAAGTAACTCATTTTTATATATGTTTTCCAGGCTAATAAAGCCAAGGAAACCTGCTCGTTATGTTGATAGGGCAAACCTTAGGCTCTTCAACAACATTCATAGTAATCTAATGGTTTCGCGAGTAAACTTCCGTACCTTCTCCTCAGGTAATATACAAGCAAGAGCAAACAAGAGCAAACACAATGCATTATGTACAACAATGAGGTGATAGAACCGGGTCAAAGTAGAATAGCTTAAAACAACGGTGATAAATGCATGACCAATATGCATCATGCATATCCATAATTCATTGTTCTTGCTCGTGTCACTATATCACCTTGTTGATGAGGAAGAATGAAGACAATGTATGGGAGAAGGAACGTAACAACATAAAGAGAAGGCACGGAAGTTTACTCGCAAAAAACATTAGTTTTCATAATGATGTTGAAGAGCCTGAAGTTTGTGCTACTACTTAAGCGGGATTCACACTAGCTTTTTTGCGATGCGACAGGCGATGCGACAGGCGCGAAACCGGGAAAACCCCAAATCGCAGCCATGTCGCACCCCACGCAACTGCCGCAACTGGGCCATCGCATGCCATCGCAGAAGTTGAGCTTGGCTCGACTTTTGCGATGCGATGCGATGCGACAAGCGATTTTGCGTACGATTTTTGGCCTTTTCTACAGCAAAGTTGTACAAAGGTTCAAGAGTTGCTTGTGATTCGGGTGGAAACCCTCTAGAGGCTACCCTGTGTAAGGGCCTCGAAGTTGGAGAAGATTGTGTCACCATCAACCATTGTGATCAGCCATGCCAATGATGAAGAGGAAGTGGTCAACATTGACCTTACGAAGCTAGACTCAGCTCCTGTATTACGGACACTGCGGATGTCCACAACGCTCAGCCGAGCCCTGCCGAGATTGACAGTGAGAGTGACAATAGCGATAGTGGAGCCTCTGGCCTGAAATTTGACGGCGAAGGCAGTGACTCAGTCCCACTGTGATATTGTTCCTGAGTAGTGGCGTCTGGAAGGAGAGGTGTAATAGATTGACTAAGTAACTGTCGACCCCACCTCATCTCTCTCTCTCTATATATATATATATCTCTCTCTATTCCTTTCTTGATATCAAACACATTAACTGTTGATCACTACGTATCGATTATTGTTAAGCTTTGTATTATTAATTCGCGCTGTGTTCGTGACGTTCTTCCTTTTTCCAGTAGTATTGTGCGTGCACATGATGACGTAGGTCGCCATTTTGTCCGTCTCATGTTGGTGCGCAGGCCTTTATCCTTTTTCTCTAGCTCTTTCAGTTTTATATATAGAGGCCGAGTTTTCCGCATCTGTAGGAACGCCACCACCCTTCAAGGATCAAGGCGCAGATGCAGCTCCTAAAGAGTCTGACGCGAACCGTGAATTAAAAAAAAATATTTAAAAGTATTTAAATAAATAAGTTCTTGTGACTGTCATCAGTGGAATGCCGTCACATAAAAATGTAATAACTAAAACACACACTTAGGCCGTGATCGTTTGGTCGGATCCAGATCCAGATCCATTGGATCCACTGGATCTGCAATGATCGATTGGTCGAATCCGGATCCAGATCCTCCGGATTTGGATCCGAGTAACCCTGCCCCGGGAGCAGGGTTGACTGGATCCATCGGATCCAAAGGTGACCTTTGTGCGTATATGGCAGGTAAAAATCATTTTTCTACTAATTGCCGTACGTCTAGTGGACTTTTGTTGACTTTTCGTACGACGCGCGCGATCAGTACGACTTTTGCCTTTTTCGGGTGACCTGTCAGCGACATTTTTTACTTCGTCAACATGGCAACAGCCAAGGTCCGCAAAAAAGTGTTCGGTTGATTCTGAAGGATCCGACGGATCTGAGATTTGGATCTGGATCTGGATCCGACCAAACGATCATAGCCTTATATACATGTAGCTAATATGGTATTTTTGCTGTTGTTATGAGTGCACAATTTATCTTATTTATTCATTTTACGACTATTGTCTCCTCGTCGATTGTTTAAAAGTATTTTTTTAAAGTTTTATTTCTTCTTGTGCAAAACCAAGTAACTAGTCCAATGTCGAGTGGGCAGTGAGTGTTGCATGTTGGCCAGTGTAGACAGGGTAGTTCACAATAACACCAAACATAATGACATCTTGCATGCGCATGAATGCTTCATTTGCATTACAATACAAGTGTCTCAAAGCAGCACACTATTCCCCAAAAGGTCGTTATTATCTGTGATAAGTTCGAAGGCATGAGGGATAGGGTAAGAACTTAATATAAAATAAGCCACAAAAATACGCCCAATCCTCTGCTGCCAACGAGGGGCAATTCAAAAGCACAGCACGGATGCCTGCAATGAACAAAAAACTGGTGCAACATTGGCATACCCGAGTGTTCTCCCCATGTGGGTTGGTAGATTGGTTTTGTTCAGGACAAGAAAGTACACCACTGGAAATTGAACCAACCAAGTTTGACTGAGACTTCTTCATGCAGATTTACACAAACCACCATTATTGTACGGGTTACGCACAAAGACATGAATGATTGTGCTGTTCAACTATCTTACCCGCCACTAGAAGTGTAACATTGTGCAGGTGTACTTGGTCCGCCCAGTTAAAATTGGCGCTTATCTTCACACTTGTCTCAGGAAAGAAATACGAATATTTGAAGCAAGCCACGATCACAAAGCACTATATACATGATTATTTACATGTCAGTAAGCAACTCAGTCGAAAATTCAAGCAAGTTACACATCCTCCTCGCCACTATCGTTCTGGAGGAAGAGCTCAAAACGTACGATCCGGACAGCTGCTGCACGGGTCGTTTCATAGCTTGTTCCACTTCTCCTCGTCTCGAATCACGAGTCAAAGGCAGTGCGTGCCTGTCACCTTCCCAT